TGGAATTAGCCTGAAAAGAACTCTAATAAAAATGTTATATAGCTGGAAATTGGACTAATTTTTACATGAGTCTATCCAATGGAATATCAGGAATTGTACTTTTTTTAGGTATTCTTTTATGCTATTTGGAATGTCTCGATTAGCTTTGTTGCAATTATTGGTAAAGTTTTCCTACAAATTTGTGACGTATTGTCGGGGCTTTTAAACAGTTAATTCAATTTATTTTTTATTTATCTAGCTTTCTTGTGTTCCATGCCTGAAATCCCTACAATTACCATAATATTAATACGTAAGTAATACAAAAGTTGTTAAGTTGTTATATCGCAAATCCCACTCGACACCTTTATAAGAGACAATATCTCGAACAAATTGATAATAATGACGAGTAGGTGTTAGTTAAATTAAGAAAAGAAAAGATGATCTTTATATTATTCGAATTCGCTTGAAATTTCCAGACAGTTTTCAAAATTTAAAATAGACTACCTGAAAAGTGCAAGATGAGACAAATGTTAATCATAATACCAATACTACTGATTAATATTTCTCCTTTTACCACTGGTTTCAAATTTTTAGGCTTGTTCCCTTTGCCCATTCGGAGTAATTTTTTAATGTACGAAACGATTTTCAAAGGCTTAGCAGACAGAGGTCATGAGATAGATGTATTAAGTCACTATCCTCAAAAAACTCCAGTTAAAAAGTAAGTCTCTATATTGCTTAATTTGTTTAAAACGCTTACTAATTACATTGATTAAAATTTTATTAGTATAAATGATATTGATATTTCTGGAAGTATTCCTTCGCTTGATAACAATGTTTCAATCGAAAGTGTAAGCAAAATGACCCGTATTGAGTCAGCGTGGTCCGTATTTAGAACACACGGTGTCGACGTTTGTGAAAAAGTTCTTCAACACAGAGCCCTACAGATACTGAGAAAGTCGAAGAAAAAGTACGACGGAATATTGATAGAAGTTTTTGGAACAGATTGTTTATTAGGCTTTTCACATTTGTACAAAGCTCCAGTGATAGGAATCACAAGTAGTATGCACCTTCCTTGGGCAGACGAAAGAATGGGAAATCCTGACAATCCGTCTTATGTTTCAAATTATTTTATACCATTTAACAAAAATATGACAATTGGACAAAAAATTGAATTAGCAACAGCTACAGTACTCTCCAAAATAGGGTATATCTCCCTTACCCTTTGCTTCATGGATTTTTATTACGTACTTTACTTGTAGATATCATTTAATTTCAACAATTCCATCGGAGATGAGAGCAAGAGATTTCTTCGGTACTGATTTGCCACCATTAGATCAATTGGCGTTTAATATGAGTTTACTTTTGGTAAACTCGTATTTTGGTTTAAGTGATCCTAGGCCTACAGTACCTGGATTAATAGAAGTAGGAGGGCTTCACATACAAAATCCAAAGAATTTAACACCAGTAAGCACATATAATATCGTACGTAGTTCAGAACTAGTTTACATTTAACTTTCATTATTCACTATATAGGAATTGGCAACTTTAGCAAAATCAGCAAATGGAATAATTTATTTTAGTATGGGCACCGTCGTTAAATTAAGTTCATTTGATAACCAAAAATTACAATCACTCCTTCATGTTTTATCTCAGTTGCCATATACAGTATTGTTTAAAGGTAATGTTCAGGATTTAAGGAGCTTCAAACCAACGGACAACATCCACTTTTCGGAGTGGTTTCCCCAAATTGATATATTATGTCATTCAAAAACGAAACTTTTTATTACACCTGGGGGCCAAATGAGTATTCAAGAAGCGGCCTTTTGCGGAGTACCAATCGTTGGTATCCCTTTCCTACCCCATCAAGTTCTTAATGTACAATTTTTTGAATCTAAAGGAGCAGGAATCGGCATTGAGTACGACGATATCGATGAATTTAAAATCAAACGAGCCATTAAAACTATTACCGATAACAACACGTATCACAAAAATGCAAAGGCATTAGCTAGAGTGTACAACGACAGGCCACTGAGCCCTTTACAGACGGCTCTTTTCTGGATAGAATACGTTATTCGACATAAAGGAGCCTTTCATCTAAGAACAAAAAGTGTCGACCTTATTTGGATGGATTATTATCTTCTGGACGTGGCTTTCATATTTACGATAATTTTTATTGTTCTTCTGTATTTGATGGTAAAACTCTTGCATTTTCTTCAGGATTATTTCGATTACTCAAAACTTCAAATAAAATCCAATGGAAAAGTCAGTACGCATAATAATGTCAAAGCAACTCAATAAATAAAAATTATTTACACATAATTTCGATTTTTTTGAGGAATAAGAACTTAAATTAGTAGGTTAAATGGGAAATTACCTGATAAGAATAAAAAATTAAAAACAATTATACGTTTATTAAAACGGTGTATATTAGTAATTGTTCTACGTGCCGTCACTGGTGTCACTTACTTGAAGCAAAGGTGTTATGTTAGAAAATATACGTATGTATTTTCAAATAAACAATTCAAAATTTTTAAATAAATCGATAAGAAATTGATTATAAAGTGCTCTAGAATTATTATTGTAAACCTTTTAAAAGGTATGGAAAATATTTCATGTTAAATGCCAAAATGATTCGCTCAAAGTTTACTGTCACTTTCAAAAATTGCAAGGTAAGATTAAAAAAAATATTACGTTGATATATAATTTTTAAAGAATCACATTATATACTAATCTAGTGTTTATGTTTAGCGACTATTACCTACTTATTTAAAAATATATTTGAGCAGTTCTATTAATGTAAATAGAAATTATTTAAAAGGTTAGTTTATAACCGTAATTTAGGCAACCCTTTTTGGTGTACTGCATGCAAAAATATTTAAGCATAACTTAAATGCACGTTTTCGCTCCATATACTTATTACTTGTACAGAAATGAAATTTTCCCATGTTATGTACTATTGAAACAGTGGCGTTACCTCATACTTTCATAATTAAGATGAGATTGTATTAAAATTTAATTATATATAGAAAGATGTGTGTTACTTTTACTTTGCAAGCATAGTAACATTTACAATACGGACGTTATAAAGGGTAACTGTAAATTTTTAAATAAAGGAAGTTGTTTTAAACGTGCTTTCCGGCTAACAATAGCAACTAGTAGGAAATATTCTTGTAACAAGTCGTAATTTATTACCGGTAAAAATTACGGATATATTTTAGATTGTAACCCAAACATTTTTAATAAATTCGATGAGTACAGATTCTTCCCAACCTTCGTTTGAGGAAATTCGTAAATATTTATGGGGTTTTGGGAAAGGAAACGTAAATTTAAGTAAAAATGAGGATACTGGTATAGCAACTCTTGTACTTAATAATCCCGAAAAAAGAAACGCCATTAGTGGTAAATATTTTGACTTTATTTTACTTACAATTTATTATCTTATTTGATGGAATAAATACAAATGGGGAAATGGAGACAAAAATGAATATTTCAGGCCAGATGATGGTACACCTCAGGGACTGCATTGAAGAGCTTGAAAAGTGGAAATCGGGAAAGGCTGTTATTTTACAGGGACATAACAATATTTTTTGTTCGGGGGCAGATTTAGATTTTGTTAGGGCAGCGGGTACCAAACAGGGTGCCAGTTATATGAGCACGTGGATGCAAGATACCTTAAATCGTCTTCAGCGTCTCCCTCTAATTAGCGTTTCATTGTTGGAAGGATTTGCTATAGGGGGTGGTGCTGAAGTGGCGGTTTCATGTGACTATATTGTAGTTGCTAACAATGCTAAATTCGGTTTTGTTCATGCTAAGATGGGATTAGTTCCCGTCTGGGGTGGAACTACAAGGTAAGTTGTTTTGTTCCTTTTTCCAAACCTTCCGAAGTTTCTATAAATGTCAAATTTATCTTAAGACGTACTATATAATAGTACGATAAATATCAGTCATGGACATAGCATCACAGTAAAAAAAGTTTCAGTGGCATAGCCTCGTGGGGATTAAGGGGATTTAAACCTCACTCCCCATCGACTAGAAAGTTTTTTTTATGTTGCCCTCTGAGGATTGCGAAAAACAAATGTAATGATCATCTTGAATGTGAGATTGGACTTTCATTTCCTGCCTTTTATGTAGATAACTCACAAGAATTTATATTTCATTTCTTTATATTTCTTTTTTGACATATTTAGGTATGTTATTTTTCTTGAATTTCAGCTGTCTTACTTTTATGATAATACCGTATACATTCGTATTAGCAACATTCCTAGCATTGATATACCTATTATTTGTAATAATTGTCATAAATAAAAAACACTGTATTGGGCTCCGTCAAATGGGCATACACCATCTGGTGGCAAAATTTATAACTCGAATGAGGGAAAAATTTACATAGGAACTGTGCACGCAAATTGTAAAATTGTTTATTAAAATAATAAAACACGTTAAAAAAGTAAAAATTTTTTTGATGATGGAGTCGACGAAGTTTTCTTCTAAAGTTAAATCAAATAAAAAGTTAATATGTTCAGTGAAAAGCTGCAATAGCACTTCAGACATAGATCTTCACT